GATGTACTCGCCATTGATGTCAATACCGTATCCTTTCCAGTCCAGTAGCTTGAAAACGTCTTCCAATGCAGCGGTGAAGAGTTTCGGGGATATAACGTCACCCTGTCTTACACCTCTCTGCAGTGCAGTGCCTATGATAAGTGATTTACCACTAATTTTAATACTTATCCACATTTGCTCCACCATAGGACAAACAGGATGCTCAATAATTCGCGTAGTTAAGCCCTGCCTCAAATAAAAACCTACCCCCCCACCGCGTGCACGGACTTCGGCAGGTCGGGGAATGTGTCGCAGTCGGTAACCCGGGACTGATGGCGCACGCCCTTCCTCACCCTCCCGAAGCCATGTTTCATTGATGGCCATTATGTCCACTGAATGACGCGCCATGGCAACCAAGAATTCATCGTGTTTGGTGCCAAGAGATCCAGGATTTAGTACACCAATTTTTAATTAATTTAACTTAACCATTTTTACTAAAATTGTATATTTTTGCAACGATATAGATAATTAATTCATTATAATACGTGTACAAAACTTGATTATGATTCCATACAATAACGGTTAAAATTACAACTTTAAAAGGTACATGACTACTTAAAGCGAATAACGTAATAACTATAGTTAAAAAACGGACATGGATGATAACGAACGAGACTATATTATTACTTGAAACGCTGCAGCACGGGTCTGGGCAAGCAAAAGACCTAGGAAATAACTTAAATTTATCGAAAACAATAAAACAATAAAATAACACTAATTTGTCTAAAACAATAAAACAATAAAAAACCTTAAACCTATCTAAAACAATAATTGTAGTTAATGCTATAAATATAATATTTCTATAAATGTAAGAGGGTTTTTTCCATTTCCATCTCCTACTTTTTAAACAATAAAAATAGTAATCAAGGATGATTATGTGTGAAATCTTTAGTTCAACAGTGTTAAAATAAATCCAATAAATATTAGCCAAATTACTTTTAAGGCGACACAGCAATGAACACATTAATATACGCTTCCAACGTATTACGCTCCAAAAGTCTTTGCTATGTCAAGGTCGGTGCGAATCCGGTGACGAGATGTGTTCGAATCGCGGCGTGCAAAAATGCATTCATCCCGCGTCCATACATACCGCCAGCCCTTACGCCTCCCTTCCTCCCGTGCCTTGTAAAATAATTGCTTATTAATAGGAGTGAGGCGCTCATTTACATAAAACCGGCTCGTCTCAACACCTATGTTTAGTCCACCGGTATCGGCACCGCGCCGCACGCGCGCCGCATGTATCAGTTGATCTCGAATCGCTCGCCGAGTAAGTCGCGCAACTAAAGACGTGGTCTAGCTTATCGAAGCCGCTTTCGTCTTCGCGACGCATTACTCCTATACGCCTCACACTTACAATATCCTCAACGCCGATCTTAGTGGCTAGAACTGTCACAACATGCAGGGAATTTTCGCCCTTCAGTTCCGCTACTCCGGATATTTCAATGTCATTGAGTAATAAATCTTGATCCCGCTCATTTAGGCGACACTTGAGTTCAGTTAATGTGTCTTCCAATTTGGAGTCTGTTGTCTGAGGTTGTGGATCCGCCGCGCGCTGTTCAAGATGTATAACCCTTTTTTCAATATCGCCGACTCTATTGTTTAGCTTATCTACATTGGAACTTATTTTTGATATAACTTCTCGAAATGATATTATCTCACTGGCGATTGTAGTTAACTGCTAGCGTATTAATTTTATTTCACTTGCCAAGTTTATGTTATCATCACAGCTCCCTCTGTCGCTAGTGCCCGGTACTACTTCGCCGAGCTCAGTATCTGTGCCACCAGAGCTAAGCGAGCCAGGCGTAGCGCTCACACCTGCTTCACTTGGACTCCCCGTCTTACATCCCTGACATTGCCATTTATTTAATTTACGGGCATCGTTTTTAAGATTAACGCATTGCCGATGGAACATAAAAATTAGAGCACTTTGCACCGTCCATGGAGGTGAATCTTCCACAGACACCACACTTATTCGCCATTCTTATCTATACTTATCGGGCAGTGTAGGTAAACATTAGTAGTATAGTTGTAATACGAATGGGTCGGCTCGATCGGGGAAGGACTACGCTGTCACAGAATACCAGCGTAAAATAGTAGCTCAACGCTGCTGTGTTTCGTATGGTGAGTGTAGAGAACCTTATACTCTTTTTATTGGAAACGAGGTATTCCATCTTAGTCCTCACGGGTGACAACGCATCTGCATTTTGATTTCTTATCGAGGATAGATGCAGATGTCTATGGGCCACAGCAACCACTTACCATGAGGTGGACTGTGTACTCCTTTATCACCCTTAACTTATAGAAAAAAGGAAGGACCGAATCATATAAAGACATAGTTTAAGTTAAAAATCATATTTTACATTGTTAAACCAACAAAAACACTGGATACACATGCACTTTATAAAAAAGTGTAAAATTAAATTTATTTGCATAATGGTTTTGGTTGAGCGGCAGGCCTAGGGGTTCCCGAGTTCAATTCACAGGTCGAGCCTTGACCCTATTGTGCGAGATGTTATACTAGGTGGACTGTATACGCGGTTGGCTTCTTAGCCTCAACAAGATGGCTAAACCACTGGACAATGCACTCGCTCTTCCAAATCTATTGCTTCGCCAAGGTTAGGAGGGAGTTCTATTTGAGCCGATAAGGAGAAACAAAAAATGGGGCGGGTTAGCTAACAAACAAAAGGCTCAAGTAGCAAAATTACGGGAAACACACTTACCGTGGTGTGATTCTGATGCTGCGGACGACGCTTCTGTTTCGGTGGTGTGTTGAAAGAGGAGCTGGCGAGACGTGAGGTGGTTTCTTCTGGCGCCCCAGATGCGATCCAGGCTAGCGGTGCAAAGCAAGAGGCGGTGCGCGACGATATCTCACACTATGTGAGGCGGTTACTTCAGGGGTGCGACTGCTCCAGGTAGTGTGGTCGAAACTAGCGGTGCGCGGCAAGAGGACGCTCGAGGGCAGCGCGCGAACCTTTATTGTCTCAGCTTTCCCAACAATTCATCTCGGTGTGGCGCGCGTTTTATTGGTCGTAAGTTAATTTAAGTGTACGTAAGGGATTTGAGGTTATAGGAAATACAATACTTGGCAGCAATATACCTTCGAACAAAATTAAAAATACACAAATCATTTCCGCGTAACCAGGTTTTATGAACAATTCACAGTTAACGACCTTATTAAACTATTCGACGCAAAAATGCACATAAAATTAAATTGTATGTTCACAACATGAGCAGAATGATATTTATATACTTACATTTAAAAATATACAATAAAGCGTAAAAACGAAACTTGAACGTGACTTTATTTCAGTCATACATACATACATTAGTTAAGATATAAGATTAGTTACGATATAATAGCCCACTGCCGAACACAAGTCTCCCACATAGATTGCCTCACAGGGGGAATTTGGCCATTGATGCCACGCTTGGCAACGTGGTTGGTAACCGCAGTATTTTTATTATTTTGAGCTATTATCAGAAAGATGCTGCTGTACACCTGTTTTAGTGCACCTGCACCCTCTGTCGCTTCTTATGACAACCTCGGGACGATATAGGGTAGCAGATATTCTTACACCGCCACGAAACAGTCGAAATAAGTCTATATTATCTATTTTATGTATATTATATCTAAGTTAGGTTCATACGCAATATCCTAATTCATAGGTCGAAAAGCGCTCACAAGTGTATTCATGACTACAGCCTATCATAGTCAGCTGCAGCAGATATACCTTCCTCATAGCCTCAAGGGATAGGAGCCGCAGGTTTTGATTATTGTTACAAGATTGGGGTTTGAGACAATAAAAACTGCCAAGTGAATTACCAAAATTGACACTTTAATTACAGAACACTAATTACAACTTAAAACACGCTAATAGTAAAACACATTTGTACTACTAATCACTTTAGTTCGCAGTTGTATCGCTTCGAAGTATTCGCTTGATCGCCAATTCAACGCTGCCCCGGGTCGCGATCTATACCGGCCTTATGTAAGAACTCAGATAATTCCAGAACCTTCTACTGTAGAAACATCTAGACTGTTCGAGTATATACCGGTCCCGACTGACTAGGTGTCAGTAGTTTTAGAAAGTACTTCCATAGAAATTTCTAGAACGTTCGAGTTAATATCGGTCCCGACTATGTGTCGGTAGTTCTAGAAAGTTCTTCGATTGGAATTTCTAAAAGGATCTTGACTCTCCTAGTTCTGTTACTCGATACTAGAAGGCGCTAGTGGTAACTAGTGTCACATTATTTTGATTTCTTACCAGGGAGATGCTGCTGCCCATTCTCTATTGCGTATCTATCTCTTCTGCCGACTCTTACAGCACGATGATATAGAGTAGTGGATTCTCTTTCGCCATTTTCTCTTTTGTACAATTGCGTGAATATATATTATCTTATTTTTTTTCTTTATCAGTCGATGATATTACATCGTTGGGCGTTGGGTCTCTCTCAATATAGGAGAGATTTACCAGATTTATCCAAACTGTATATTGTATATAAATTTGGTTTTTCATCATCTGTAGGAGGACGTGAGTTCTTAGGTATTTACATAGTCCCCACAGTTGACACCAACGAGACCTAGGGGACCTATATTGGGGTGCTAAATTATAACACTCCACCAACACATCCATTTTGTAAGAGATGACTATGGGAATGACGAGATTTTTTTTGACTATATGACTTCCAATAGATGGCGGTATAAACCATTCGCTTACGTCATTCATCGAACAAACAGATGAACGACAGGCAGTAGCGAAAGTTGTTATACATCTGACTCTGCGATCAACAATCCACGTGCCAAGCGTGAAGATTAACGCAAATTTTCACTACAACACGGTAAACTCATGTCAGCAGTGGATGAACGTCACCTTCCGAGCATACAGGTTAAGATCGATAAAAAATATCCTACAGATAATTTTAAATCCATTATGATGTCTACCAAGATTTTATGTTTGCAGGTTCTCAAAAAGACAAGCTCGTGCACCGGAAATAATGAATGAAGTTAATTCCTACAGAGACCCACTAATGTATAATGAGTGGCCCGTGTACACCGCTATACCAAGAGCTGCACCCAGGTACTGAATTTTGATCAATTATGATTTTAAATTTGATTTAACCGTTTTACAAAGGTTACAATCAGCATTAGGAGACTTAGCTACATCACGCGCAACAATTTTTAGGTGGTTTGCTAAATTCAAAAGGGTAAAATTAACCTTAGAGACGACCAAAGAATCGAAGCTCCGCAAACAGCAGTAACGGCAGAAAATCTATGGACTACTGAAATTTTGGTGTGAGAAGAACCACGAATAATCACGAACATCGAAAAGATTATAGACAATAGTTCAGGGGGCAGTCATACCATCCTACATCAACATCTTGTAGTAAGGAAGCTTTGTAGTCGATGGATCCCTCGTTTCCTCTTCGAAAACGTCGTGTGGATTGGTACTATGTAGTGCGTCTACATTTTGAAAACGAGGCATCTAGGCGTGTTTCAGAAATTGTTACTGGTGATGAGACATGGATCTATCAATATGATTCGGAAAATAAAAGGCAATCCTCGGTATGGGTCTACTCAAAAAGACAGTTACCGACAAAACTGCAAAGACCTCGCAACATCGGCAAAAAATGGTGCTAGTTTTTTTTAGTGGAGCGGACATTTGTCGTTATCAATACTGGAAAATTATATTTAAATAATACTAGATTTTACGGATTTTATCGCGTATATTTAACTTTTTAATTAACCTACTACTGTGTGATCAGAAATCACTGTTCGTCGTCGCCAGTTTAGGTAATTTGCTAGGATAAACGAGATGTTGACTTCTGATATTACGTTTGCCCCGTGGGCCGTAAGCATGACTTTTTTACAGGATAGGGTAACAAACAAGCACACAGTCCACCTGATGGTAAGTGGTAGCTGTGACCCATAGACATCTACATCTATTCTCGATTACGAATCAAAATGCAGATGCGTTGTCACCCGTGAGGACTAAGAAGCAATGCCTCGCTTCCAGCCAAAAAACGAGGTGACCGCGATAGTATAAAATTACCAAAAAAAGCTCTCGTAAAACCATTATATAAAAAGGATTACGGCACAACATAAATAAATATAGACACACAAGTATTTTAAAATCACAGTTTTTGGAAATTAATAATGTTCTAAATGTAAACCAAAATGGATTTCAAAAGAATATATCTCTGGCAATATATAAATTATTTAATACGGTTTGGCATAAAATCAATGATAAACAACAATGTTATGCTCTTTTTATTGATATGTCAAAAGCATTTGACTGTGTCAAAGGCATAGCAATAGGAATAAGAGGATTATCAATTAAATTATTAGAAAATTATTTAAATATTAGAATGCAAGTAACTGTTATCGAAATATATAATGAATCTACAAACATATTTGAGGTGGTTAAATCTAAATTTTAATAATGTAATACTGGGTGTACCCCAAGGCAGCATATTGGGGCCCTCTTTATTTCTGTTATATATTAATGATCCCGCAAACATAATAACGCACGTAGGCGTAATGTATGCCGATAATGCAACTATATTTATTTCTAAAGATGATTAAATGATTCTGATTATGGAAATGAAGTAAACAAAACATTGAAAATAGTTACTGATTTGCTGCAGTCAAGAAACTTAAAATAAAACCAGTTAAAATAGAACTCGTACAATTCAGAAATTACAAAAGTATACCTGCCAAACTAAATATAACCATGACTGATATAGCGGTCGAAGAAGTAAAGAACATACATTTTCTAGGAGTCGAAATAGATCAACATATAAACTGGAAGGTACATATTGAAAAATAAAAGACATCCAGTGCATGTTACGCATTATCCATCCTGTCAGAGACTACAAATGTAAGTGACGGTGTCATATACTGCTGAAACTCAGGAGATTTACAATCCACATTCGTTGTCCAGAAAAAAATGTCTTAGAACAATATATAACATGCATAATATTGAATCGTTAAGAGATATTTTCAGAAAAAGGGTTTCCTAACACTGACTGGAATCTTTATCCTGGAGTTATGTCTATTTATAAAAAACAATATGCAATATCTTAATTTGAAATCTGATTCAAAGAAAAACATTTGCAAACAACATAAGTGTGATGTAAGCTTACCTATTATTAAAAAAATTACTTTAATTTTTATGATTATAAAAGTACCTATATTATTGCTATTCGTTTTTACAACCAGTTACCAACAGCTATTAATAGCTATTAACCAGTTACCACCAGCTATTAATAGCTATTAATAGCTGGTGGTAACTGGTTGTGTAAACGAATAGCAATAATATAGTAATTATTTAGGTCACAATCACTGTCAAATATTGCATAATTTTTTTATTTTGTTACAAGATGTTATTGAGGATAATATAAATTATTGATTTATTTTTGAATATAATACATATATTCAAAAATAAATCAATATAAATAAATCAATATAATATAAAAACGAATATTTATAAAAAAAACTCATCGAAATCGGGTGATTTTTCGATTTTCTAGAGCGTTTATGATAATATTTAAAGTTAAAAACTTAAAGTGAGATAAAAAATTTATAAAAAAACATTTAATGCTTTTTTAAATGTTTTTTTTGTGTAGGTAGATTAACAAAAAAATATACAAACTTCGTTTAACGCTTTCCAAAAAATTTATGAACGATTATATTCGAGGAAGTGCGTTTAAAGTCATAAAACTATATGAAATCTTGAGGTGAGATATTTTCTATATTTTTTTCCATAAATCCGCCATAGATATAAAGATTTTAAAAAAATCATCGAAAACGGATGATTTTTCCATTTTTTAGAGCCAAAAAACGAGGTGACCGCGATGGTATAAAATTACCGTTTTTTTATAATTATTGGGAAATTCTCCCGTTTCCAACATTATGTTTATGATTATATGTAAATGCGGGTCAGATATAAAAGGTTTCCTTTCTTTGATTACTCTAATGGGTATATTATCATATTCGTACCGGGGTTGGTTTTTTATTTTTTAACTATGTTTATCGCACTTATCTACGGGAATAATCATTAGAATAACTTTGTATTTATGTATATTTATATCCTTAAACTTGTATGTATGTATCAGTCCTCTCTTGAAGATCTATCTAAAGCAGTTGACACTGTTACGCTGATCTGACTTGTATTTCGAATTGGAGTAAATGGTATGGTTTAACAATTAATCTTAAGAAAACTCAGGTCATTGTCATCGGTAGTTCTAGATTAATTGGTAAAATCGACTGGTCTTCCCTACCCCCTATTATACTAGACTGCACTCTAATCCCTTACAGTAACAAGGTTAAAAACCTGGGGTTGTATCTTGAATCCTGTATGTCTTGGACCTCACAGGTTAATGATGTAAGTAGAAAAATGTTTGCTGCGTTAAGCTCTTTCCGTAGATTACGTAATTTTCTTCCCGCGGCTACTAAAGTTACGCTCTACTTCTGCCTATCCTTGACTATGCTGATATTTGCTATCTTGACATTACCGAGGAGCAGCTTAATGAGCTTGAGCGCATTCAAAATTTATGCATTAAATTTATATTTGGGCTTCGCAAATATGATCATATCTCCAAATTTCGCAAACAGCTCAAATGGCTCTTTGCAATGGCAACGGCAATGGCAATTCTCTCCGCGTTGTATACCCTGTTGTATAACCCTAGCTGTTTAATCCTTCCACTCCTCTTTATTCAAAAAAACCGTTTCCAGTATCTTTCTCTTACCCATATTCGCCTTTGCACTCTTCTTCCTTTTTGAAGAAATCCTTCACTGTAACTGCTGTGCGCTTGTAGAACTCCTTACCTCTCCATATTCGTCGCGCTAAATCTCTTCACTTTTTTTAAAAGTCTTGTTAAATCGTATTATTTAGAACGCTATTAGATAAATTACTTTACCTTTCTAGTACTCTTTTCATTTAATCTATTATATGATATTTTATATATAATTTTCACTTATCTTTATTTGTATGTATTATTATATTTTTTATTATTATTTTGTATGCCCTCTATTTTAAATTTTGTTTGCATCATTCCTCTACGCAAAGGTTGTCTGGAAGAAATCACTTTCAGAGTGATAAGACCGCATATTGTACATACTTTAATTTGGTTATAACTGTATTTTATAACTTGATGTTTCTGCATTGTGGTGTACAAAAAAGAATAAATAAATAAATAAATATGTTTATATATGTTAATTAGCATATAAATGTGTTTATATTATGAATATGTGTTAATATATGTAAATGTACAAATATATTTACTTACGATTGTAATCAGTTTTGTTACGTATAATGTGTATTAGTTTCAGTTTATCTTTTTTTTTACTTGGTACACCTACGACAAACTCTCACCACTCTATCGGTTGACTGGTAGAAAATAGAAAATACCTTTAGGCATTAAGTACGCCCTTGAATCTTTTTTTTAAGAGTAAGAATCTAAAGTTAAAAAAAATAGAGGTGATGTTAATGTGTTACAGTTTCGGTTAATATAGTGATGGTTGAAAGTATTTGCTAGTTTTATAAGTGACTTTACGGCATTGTAATTTTGGACTATGTAGTCTATTGTTGGTAGAATTACATTTGTACTTTGGGTTTGTCGTTTAATTAATGCCCACGTGGCCTTAGTTTTATTTGCACTATATGAGATAAATTTAGCATTAGAAATTCTTTAAGACTGTTTTATTATACGCTTTAGGATTTTACAGCAGCAAACGTATTTAAGTTTTTGTTCCTACGAGCCACTATATTTTGTTTGGAGGTAGATTTTACGTTTAATTTTACTTGAGAATAAGATACTTTTGGTTTTCCAGTAAGTATTTTTTATAGCATACATTTTAACTTTATCAGTTGGAATACAAAGGTCAAATACAAGTTTAAATATACAAATAAATTCTTCGTAAGCTCTGTTTGCGTCATTATAGTCATACACGCCATATTCATAAATCGGTCGAAAACGGCAACGCAGCCAAAGTTTAGAAGTTTCTTCAGTCTCTTGGAGTTGGTAAAACATCCAATAATTCTCCTCATCATAATGTTGATGTTGAATTCCTTAACAAATATTTCACCTGTTCTAGCACATTAGATAGCTCAGATAAAGACCGGATTCTAAATATTCTTTCTTCAATACCAACTCCTGATTTTCCACCGTTTAATTTCTCTCCTTTCACTGGTAGTGATGTTAAAAAGAACATTTTGTCCATCTCGTCCAATGCCGTGGGTGATGACAATGTTAGTCGTAACATGATCTTACCTATCCTAGAATTTGTTACTCCTATTCTCACCCATATCTTGAATAAATCCATCTGCTCTTCAAAATTTCCTGATGTTTGGAAAAGTGCACTTGTAACGCCTCTCCCAAAAAAAGCCCATGCTTTGCATTTTTCCGACTTTCGTCCTATCTCAATTCTTCCGTTTCTATCCAAACTCCTGGAGAAACTAGTTTTCTTTCAGTTAAATCTCTACCTAAATAGAAATTGTATCCTGGATCCTCTCCAATCTGGTTTCCGATCAGGTCATAGTACGACACCAGCATTGGTTAAAGTTACCGATGACATTCGACGAGGTATGGATAACAAACAGCTCACTGTGTTGGTATTGCTTGATTTTAGCAATGCGTTTAACACTGTTGATTTTGACATCTTATTGAGTGTGTTACGTTCTATTAACATATCTCCTCCGGTGATTGGCTGGTTTCATAGATATCTTTACGGCCGTCGGCAGCGTAATTCAATACAGCAGACGGCCCGTAATTCGCACCAAGATGAGTTCTCATCTTGGTGCGAATTACGGGCTGGCGTGCCTCAAGGTGGTGTGCTGTCTCCTTTACTTTTTGCTATATTCATTAATTCTATCTCTCAAAATATTACTTCTCTCTATCACATGTATGCAGACGATCTCCAAATCTACACTCAGTCAACTCTGTTAAATCTGCCTTCTGCTGTTGCCACCATCAACAATGACTTAGCGGCGATAAACCAGTGGAGTCAGCGTTATGGTCTAAAAATTAATCCGTTCAAGTCCCAGGCTATAGTTATTGGTGGTGGAGGGATGGTCTCCAGAGTTGACTGGAACAACCTACCCTCGGTGACATTAAATGACGTTGTCATACCCTACAGTAAATCTGTAAAAAATCTGGGGATATATCTAGATTCTACCTTGTCGTGGTCGCAGTAGTTAAAGCAAGTGAGCAAAAAGGTGTTTGCTACTATGGGTTCACTTCGTCGTTTACACGTTCTTTTCTCCCCATTCCCACTAAGATTATGTTAGCACAATCCTTACTTCTCTCTATTCTCGATTATGCGGACGCAAGTTATCTCGATTTAACTGAAGACCAACTGAACAAACTTGAGCGAATTCAAAATATTGCAATTAGGTTCATATTTGGTTTGCGCAAATATGATCATGTATCCGAATATCGTTTACAGCTCAAGTGGTTACCCATTCGCTTTCGCCTGAATCTGCAAACTGTATCTCTTTTGTACTGTGTGTTGTTCAATCCTTTGACTCCAAGCTACTTGAAGGAAAACTTTAAGTTTCTTGGTCATGATCGACCTGATAGAGTTCTTCGGTCAGCCGGCGAACTAATTCTAGAACCATGTTCATTTCGAACAAAATTTATGTAATAATTCTTTTACGAGCCAAGCCATAAGGTTATGGAATGAACTTCCACTCCAAATTCAACGTGCACAAACTTTGGAAAGTTTCAAAAGTGACGTCAAGAAGCATTACCTAACACTTTGTGGTTATTGATAACCAATTTCTAGCAACAGATAGTTATTCTGTGTTTTTCTTTTTTTTCCTCTTTGTTTTGTTATTTATTTATTTATTATCTATGTCTATATATATATATATATATATATATATATATATGTGTATATATATTTGTATATATTTATATATATACCTATTTATTAATAAGTATGTTTATTTTATTATTATTTTTTATGTATTGTTGTGGTATTTTAACAAATATAGTTTAGTTTATTTAGATATTAGAATGTAAGTGTAACATAAAACGCACCACCACCTACTGTTCTTAATTCCAGTTTCTCCTTAGCCCAAAGGATGTCTGGAAGAGATCGCTCTTTAGCGATAAGACCGCCTTATTGTACATACGTATATATTAAGTTTTCTCTGTAATGTATTTATTCGTTGTATATGTGTGGTGTACAATAAAGTATATACTACTACTACTACTACACGTCCTCAAATTTTATTTAAAAGATGTATTTTAAAACATTTCAATGCAATAATTTATGTTACGTCTCATTTTGCAGCAGTATTTTTTTCTGAAACTTACACTACACGGTATCTTATTTTGTAAAATGCGTAATGGCGTAATGACTACTCTTTAAAAATAACCCTGTATAATATTATTTCCACACAGTTGTAGCGATACGTTAGAAGATTTTTTTTTATTATATAAAGTAAGAACCTGTAATTGGCAGTAGAAAATGTAAATACTTACTAGTTTTATAATGTTACAAAATGCTGTTGGTTCTGTTTAAAAAAAATTAAAATTAAAAAATCTTAATAACTTGGCCTGTATGTTCTGGTATACCCAAATCCCACATTTAAGCTTTGTATTTACGATTATTTGTGATGATGTTATCAATGTAGGTTGCAGAATGTGATGTTAATTAAATTGTTTCATTTAGGGTTAGGTGCAATTTATATTTTTAAAGTGTTTTTAAATAACTCACTTTTGCTGGAACAGATTATTATGTCTATATTAAACTCAGCCAGAATATTTTTTTTAATTCATGAATCTCAATCTGATTGTGTAGGGCGCTGTCGTCGCACCCAGAAAACAAGCTAAATCACGCTACAAGAATCAAACAGAAAAGACGAAAACCCCCCCGGGGAATCCCACCCAGTAGGTTTAAATAATAATATCTCAATTTTTTTAATATACAAATTAATATTACTGTTAAGCGTTCTGTGCATACATTATATATACCAATTTGTTTCTGAAATTGTTATTCCACAGCAGTCAAAGTGATTTTCAACGGCTAGTTCAGAGATTCAGTTAACTTTTTTGTAGTTAATTGAGTTTTGTTCTCATACCATATATATTATTGTGTAGTAAAGTTGTTAGTATCGATATAAATAATTTCCCGTTTAAGTTTCGACTAATAATAAATTAGGTTGCAGTAACAGCTTTGTTTGTGTGCAAGTTGATATTGTGTTTTTCTTAATATTTTGCCTATTAGACTTGATGTACTGTTTATAATTATATGTATAATTTAGATGAAATATTTGCCTCAGAACTAACCTACATATCATAACAAAGAATAAAGTGTATGGGACTTTATAATCTACGTTTATAAATACACTGTGACTAAACTGGAAATAGATGTGGTGGAATGTTTCACAAAGTTTTATCTCACTTATGAACCTACGTCTTTTTGTGTAACGGAATACTGTAGTCTTAATGGGTCTTTACCATTATTACCACACACCATTACAACATAATCAAATTTATTAAGTTAGTCAGTCGTTGCACCAGGTTTACTTAAAGTTGACACAGTGAAGTTGGATCCGATCAGATTTTGTAGCATATTTTTCATCCGTGTATGTCCGTATACATATACAAAATATTGTTTTATTACAGATTGGGTTTACTATTGAGGGGACTGGTGTAGACTGTGACTCTGTCAGGGGTTGATTTTTTGCTTCATATTCATTATTTTACTCTCGCTGAGGCGCATTTAATTTAGGAGAATATAGCACGTCCTCTCCTTAGTCTCAGTAGTGTTCTCAAGGTTGATATTCAATTTTATTTCATTTAAAGTTAATATTAAAAATAATATAATACTAATATATATACGATTACTAAGCCGGATTATACTACATTTTTATTGAAGTGTAGTATTTGTATATATAATTGGAGGGCAAATCTTTTTCACTGTAACAAAGTTGGAAATTTGTTTGTTGATTATATTACTTACATTCAGGCTGCTTACAAATTTTGTAAAACATAATAAATATTAATAATATGGTGTAGTGTCAAATATAAACTTGGGATTTTAGCTTTGCTCATTACGTAGCGGTCAGTATAATCGTATTTCATGTATTTAGCACAGACATGAATGGGTTTTATTGTCTATGTTGAATTATTTAGTCTAATTTTTTTTTTCAATCCTTAAACTGTGAGCAGTTTTGTTTGAGAACATGTTACGAGAAGCTCCAAGTAGTTACGTAATTTGCATATCAATAAAAATCCTTATAACTCTTTACATACTATATCTCATTATTATCATCATCATCATTACAAAGGTTGCCACGTTACATGGTCCTTAGCCTAAGAAAGTCCCGAAATTTCTGGGAATTGAATTTTGCAAATGAAAAATTTAACTAAATTAATTTACTTGCAGGTTTAGATACCAGTATACCTCGATTCCTCGGGAAGCTTACGGTCGAGTTGTTACAAAAGCTCCACCAAACGTAGTACGTACTCCGGATTATGACGAGGTAAGCAATAATTTGTCCTTCTCTTTTATATTCAATACATACTAATGTAGAATAGTTCTCTGAAGTAAAACGGCGACTGTTATAATCTATAAATTTATTATCTATAAATTTGTGAACAATTTTGTTCGCACGGCTATATCTTGTCATATCAATGCACTAACTACGCTATAAGTCATCTTTATTAATGCACGCAACCAAGGAGTGGAATGCCCTGGCGGAGTTTGTTTTAGTGAGCACCTATAACCTGAACCTCTTCAAGGTGTTAACAGGCTTCTAAAACTCGCTCGACTGTAGACCTCATCTTTGCCCTCGGGCCAGTTGGAGGTCAAGAATGAGCCCATTTTTAATTAAAGAACTTAGTAAGAGATGCAAAAATGGGTGCAGGTAGATCAGGAGTGTGCTTTGTGGCATTTCCTTGGGTGAAACCTATGTTCAGCAGGTGACTTGTGATGAATTGTAATATTGATGAAACGGTCTACACCTAACAGCATTATCAGCTTTCACCCAGTATTGTTGCTTGGCAGCAATTTAATAGTGCTTAATAAATAGATATAGTTCTTGCCATTTACGAATGCGGTTGACCTTTGGATGTGGTTCGACATGTACATGTACAGTCTGACAGTATGCGTGCCTGGCGGAGCGGTAGTCCGGTCACGGTTTAAGCATAGAATAAATCAGCGCCATCTCATACTCATCAACTACCACGGAACAAGTGTTTTTACTAATAATTATGATTTTACCCTAGAACCTGTAGAAATACTCCCTAAATTATCGTAAAAAAATCAAAATAGCCTTATTTATTGCACCTAATTTTTAATATTTTAAAAATAACAACTTGCAACATCATTGCAAGTTTTGAATATCATTTCACGATTAATAATCTTGAGTTTATTGATGAAGAAGACGTTCTCATTTTCAAATTATAATAACACTTAGTCTCATATGAATAACGAATATGTAACTAAGTAAAAACATACCATTATTCTATTCTATTAATTATATTATTTATTAAAGAAATACTTTTTCATTCTACACTTTTCTAGCTCTTTTGACCCTATCCCTTTCGATAAACCTTTAAAAAATACATTTGGTGAAAATAAAAATAGGGTTACATGGAGTTCGGTTTTACCCCAAAATTACCCAAAACACTTTCAACTTGAAGAAACGCTTAAATCCCTACCTATATTAGTAGATTTACCCTAACATAGTGCAAAATATCTAAAAGTGGAAACACTGCATGGACGCACGGCACGCATTGGTGGTAGCGTTGGTGCTCCATATACAATTTTCGCACCAATAAGTCGGTGCCATTTTGTTTGTTCAATAACCTGCTCCATACGCAGTAGTATAATAAGTCTATGGGTTAGTGCGAATATTCGGAACATCAACCAAGTGTGGGTGGTAACCTGTTGTACGTCTGTATTCCGATAGGTGTCACTATCTAGCGGAAGGCTGCCCTATTTTCCATTGTTTGACGATTTTTCAAGGTATATGATTGGTGCGTTGCCCACTTCAACTTACTGATATTTATTCCTCTGATATAATGAAAAAAGGCACGTAAAGTTGATATCATAACCAAAATTATTTTTCATTTTATTATTTACTTTTTTATTTACTTGACAATTCTCTACTACACTGTAAGCAGAAATTTTTCTCTTCTTAAAATCTTAAACTTCAACATTTAAAAAAAATATTTTGTTACAGATGTTTGGAATGTTAAATGTTCCGCACACGTCTGGCAAAATACTGCGATACCCGGGCCCGTCGAGACCACGTGGACAACCTACTTTTTTGGTTCCACCACAAAGAGATCGGTAAACAAAATTATTTCGGTTACCTTACTCGTGCATGCATCTTTACCAAACCGTAATTGTAATAAAGTTCCATAGAATATATTTGACAGTGGACCATTTGAACCAGTAAGTGTGGTTTTACAGTGACGCTTTCGCCAGCACGGTTGATAAGCGTCGCGGGCCACGAGCGTTGTGTCTCTTGGTCGTTACATAGTGTAAACAACACGCGCGGAGGGCCCGCGCTGGCGGCATTCAGCCGCGCGTTTCAACAGTATACAAAACCGCGCGACTCTAAGCTACGTTTTATAGTTACGAGCGGGTCATCCGCGCGTTTACGGGCCGCGCTTACCACCCGCGCTGGCGATAGCGTCACTGTAAAACCACGCTAAACCATAGAAAAATTAGTAGTAAACATATTTTATATTATGCATATTTTATAGTTACAATGCTGAACAGGTGGATTGCCTGAGTAAATTTTATGAACTGAATTTAAAAGCGAGCTTTACCTACATCGATTTACAATACTGCTACGGAGTTACAATGGAATCATGGGAGCTCAGAGGCGAAGAGTTTGCTAAAAACTTGACAGTACACGAGCAACCCAGGTTCGATCCCCGCAGGCATCGATGAAATTGTAAATTGCTATTTTAAGTCCTGATTTAACACGAGCTCCGCTAAAGGAAATCATCGTGAGGAAACTCCCATCTCTGAGAAATTACAAAAAATATTTCAAAGACACGTGAAGTACAAAACAAACACTTCCTTGTTCGAAAACCCAGTGTCCAACAGTGGACATATAGGCTGTAACTTATGCAAATTAGATAAATCGCAATCTCATTATTCATGTGTTTTATTACACATTGCCAATAAAACTCCATCGCTGAACAGAGGCCTCCCTCTTAGATTGCCCCATAAATAGGATATTTGCCATTAAGAGACAACCATAGTTTTTTTATTAAGTTTTTTGAAAAAAGATGCTACTGCTACCCATATCCTGTTTCAGTTTCTCTCTATCGCCTAATTTATGGAGCAGTGAATATGTGACCATATATGGCATCATATTTCTCAAAATCGATACTTACGCGCGGCGCAAAGTGCTAAGATGGCATGTCTTCATAATAATAGGTCATTACATATGAAATTAGCGTTTTGTACGGGAGGAATATGAAATAATTTTTTTTTGTTTAAATATATTTAATTAATCAAAGTATGCATCGTTTTTATCTATGCACTTTTGCCACCTCATAGGAAGTTCATCGATCCCTTTACTAAAAAAACCATGAGGGCGAGAATCAATAAACTCTTTGAAGGCGGTTTGGACTGCCGCATCGGAGTTGAATTTTTTTCCTGGTAAAAAGTAGTCCAAATTTCGGAAAAAATGGTAATCTGTTGGAGCAAGGTCCGGGGAGTACGGTGGATGTCGCAGACATTCCAATTGTAGCTCATCTAACTTAGTGGTTGTTTGTTGTGCAGTGTGTGGTCTTGCGTTGTGGTGAAGCAGCAGTGGCCTAGAGCGATTAGATAGTTATTCCTTCATGGATTGCATTTGCTAACAATGGATAACTGCCGTAATTATTTGGCCGTATTTTAGAAAGCTGTAGTGAACGACTCCGACGCTGGTCCACCAAATACTCACAAGTAATTTTTCTGAGTTAATTTTCGTTTAGGGCAGGATTTGACTTGGTGTTCAGAGTTCAGCCATAGCGACGAGCGCTTTCGATTATCGTGCAGTATTCACTTTTCATCACAAGTAATGATTCGATTTAAAAGCCCTTCATTTTTGTGTCGGTTAAGCAAAGTAACAAAGCAGTCGACGCATGTTAGCAAGTTTGATTCACTCAATTCATGAGGTACACACCGTTCAAGCTTTTTTACTATCCCGATTTGCTTCAAGTGGATTAATACAGTTTTATCGCTTACCTCGAAGCCTGCAGCTATCTCTGAAGTACTTTGTGGTAGATACGCTTCCAGGCCTTTAATTCTTCATTTTCCACGTTGGTCTCTGGCCGTTCACGGGAATCGTTCCGAATGGAGAAATTTCGAGAACGAAAACGTTGAAACCAAAAACGTACCGTGCATTATTTTTGCGCACCAGCACCGTGCACATCATTAATCCTTCGAGCTGTTTCTGCAGCACTGGTGCCACGGTAGAACTCCTACTCGTAAATATACCAATATTTCATGTTTTCCATTGTGCGGTAATAAGCGACGCCAAACAAAAAACTAATGAGGAAATAACAAATGAATGACTCTTTTCAAAACTCAAATGTACCAGCTAAATGAATTTATAAATTTGAATTTGGAATTCTTAACCAAAAAGGAGATATTACAGATCAAAACGGTCAGTACGACAAGACGCTAATTTCATATGTAAGGACTCAATATCACTACACTACACTACACAAACAATATGGACAGAATTTTATTTTAATTAATTTATTGTTAGAAATACATTTAAATGCCCGCAATTTTATAGGACATTATTTTCATACAATTTACCTTAAGGCTTTAATGTTTTCAAATTTATTACATGTGTCGTTAGATTTTAAATATAAATTAGCCCAATTATAAAAATGAGTTTTTATTACAAATTTTTGGGATATAAAATAAAAAAAAAAAAAAAAAAATTTTTAAAAAAGCAAAACCGCTAATTTATGACAAATTACAAAACCTATTCGGGTACTAATAACGATCGTAATAAAATAAACCTTAATCGATATCAGTTATCGGTTACTTTTGATTAATTATTAATAATTACTGTTGTTTTAGATTTGAAGCCTTGAAGAAGCTGATACGACAGGAACATGTTCGTGAGTTACAGAGGAAATATGAAACTGAACAGAAGCAAGAACTCAAAGAACTGGCAGCTGGTCGTGGGTAAGTCGCATTTTAGTTTGTAATTTTTAATCGAAAATTATAAAGGACCTTTTTCACTGGTAACAAAGCATTTCATCTTAGACTTAAGGGGCGATAACGCATCTGCAGTTTGATTCTTAGTCAAGGTGTGTGTGTTCGTTGGCAAAATCATTCACTTACCATCAGTTGGAATTTATGATTGTTTTTTACCCTCACTGCTTTTGGTCCAGTGATCTTCAACGCGACTGTTGATTTACTCCCTTTATATCGAATCTTAGGGTGGATATTTGCCATAGTTGCCACGCTTGGCAAGGTCCCGGTTGAGTTATACCTCTTTTTTGTCAAGAAATTCTCAGTTGCAGACCGTATACAGCCGACTCTCGTTAATTCGATACTCGAGGGACTCTTAAAATATTACAAATTATCGAGTGTTTGAAATATCAAATGGTTCCAAAATTTTTAGAGAAAATAAATAAAACTTCAAATTATTAAATCGAAGTGTATCAATCAATTATTAACTGCTATTATTTAACAATGACAAAAGCTTGGACTTCACTTCCACTTTCCCCACAAACTTTTATAAACACAACTTCATTTCTCTTTTTGAAATTAGTAAGCTACTCTTCTTGGGGCAAAGTTTTTAATGATTAGAGTAGAAGCAGTGGCGAAGCTTCCATTTAAGCCGAAAAGCCGGGCTTGCCTTATTAAACCTGAATCAATCAATAATATCAACTAATAAAATAACTCGTAAAATGTTTCAAGCTATTTCAAATTTCCCGCGCACTCCACTGTTCGACACATGTCGACCGATGAACTCGTATTGCCTTAGCGATACTGCTGCTGTCATAAAAAATGAGTTTTAATAGAGCTAATAGTTGTCTCCCTCGCTCGCGTGGGCTTTTTACGGGGCTTTCGAGAAGACGATCGCTCTCTTTCTAACCTATGGCAAAATATTCTATAATGAAATATAACTACGATTGTATATATAGCAATTAGTATAGAGATTTAAAGCCAGGCTTTTGGGAATAAATTTGTTAAAAGCGGAGGCGCGCGGGCAATACGTTTGCAAGTTCATTTCACGTTTCAATGTTTATTTACTCTGTGTGCTTATCTTAAGCGATTTAATATTACGAGTTCAAAATTTATGCTTTTTAATGAAAATGGAGGATAATAGTGTTCCTTGTGATGAATTGAAGTGTGTTAAAGTGATAATCTGAGAGGAAATCTTTAAACTTTGTTGGGATAATACACAAGGTTAAAAGTGTATTTCAGACATCAATTATCGCAATTAAAAACAGTTATTGGTACAATTAAAACGTTCACCAACATTTTACGTAGACGTAATTAAATCTTTCCATAAGAAAGCGAGAGAGGATTTCACTTATCTTATCTTATCTCTTATCCATTAGAATGTAAATAATTTTTTTTTAATTTTGTACAAACTATGTTTGTACTTTGCTCGTGTTTTACTTTTGTTCATGTATTGTATTGGATGTAAATATTTTTTCTTTCGCTTAAAAAACTCAAACGGCTTTCTTCAAAGCCACCGAAGCTATGCAATTGCTGATATGTAGGTAATACAATCTATCTAGCAGTGGTATGCGTTCTGTGTGCTTTGTTAAACACGTCCTTGACAGCACTGAATATGAAACTGAAGCGTGGAGATAAAGATTGGTGTATTTTTGTAAAACTGCTAAAAACAACAATCTATATTTTTATCAATTTATATCTTGGGCTTACCCTAGCTCGGAGCTCTAGCTTCGCCACTGAGTAGAAGCGAACTCTTTTTCCTTTAACATGTTTCCGCTAGTAGACACTTTTTGTCCTCTACGCTGTCTTAGCCAAATGACCAGGTTTTCTTCCCGACGAGAAAATTCACCTTGATTACTTGTTTTCCGTACTCCAGCAGTTTGAGCTGCATAGATTTTCTCCTTGTGCTTTATTATGGTTGAAAGAGTACTCAGAGGAATGTTAAATTCTTTTGCAATATCACTTTTATTCTCACCTCCCTCTACTTTTTCGATTAACTTCTTCTTTTCAGCAATCATCAAGCATTTATACTTTTTAGGCATCATGACTAACACAAAGTCTTTTTAATCTGTATACAACCAAACCAACGAATGAGTAACAGTAACTGAAACATAACTAACTAAACAAACCAATTCGTGCGGGTGTGTGTCAAACTAATCATAACAAAAACAAAGGCTCACATAGGACAAAAAAAGTTTGAACCTGTATCAAAATATACTATTAAAATCCGAATTAACGCATCCGATGAGTTCGAATTAACGCATTGTTTTGTTACGTAGCAATGATTTTTTCGTTTCAATTACCAAGTGCTTAAAAATGTATTGAATTATTTCGAAATGTAAAGAGATTTTGCAGGAAACTCGTGATAACTTTGAATTATAGAGATGTTCGAATAATCGCAGGTTTGAATTAACGAGAGTCGACTGTATATAAAGTTATGTCTTGATGACCATTCTTCCTTGAGACCGACTGCCGTGATCGAAATTCGGTCTGGAGAACATAATGTTATTAAGTTAAAGTAAAGTAAGTCGAGATACGTAAAAAATATTTTAAATAATATACTTTCCCTTCAGAAATGAGGACTTCGTGTATGGTAATTATGGCGAAGCGGAACCCCGAGGCTTACAGCCCTTGCAGGTAGAATATCCCGCCGATGACAGCACTAGACACTCCAAGTAAGTCGCTGGCAATTTAATAGTATTCCATTAATTTGGTGTAAAATAATAAAACCAAAAAAAAAAAAAAAAAAAAAATATATATATATATATATTATGTTATATATAAAAACAAATTATTAAAACATTATAACGCTCAGTAAAACGCGGAAGTAAAACGAATAATTTATTAACTTTAAACATATTTATTATATCTATCATAAAATGTTCCAATGGAGATATTTCGAAACTAAAAATAATTGAATAAAATTGAATATAAAAATTTCAAACAAAATTTAATTTTTTTGTTTTTAGTTGCATTTTTTTCAATCAAGTATGGCAATTAATAAATAAATTGCATGCGCTAAAATAAAAAAAAAAACGTTGCTCATTACAACCAATGATATTAAATGGCGGGACAAAATGCTCTATAAGGCTAATATTTATGACTAGTATTGTGAAAAAAATTTTATGAATTCATTAAAATTACGCTATAATTTCATAATAAAATGGACAGAAGTTGTTTTTTTTTTCATTTTTATGAATGGTATCTGTCTACTATTCGAATTCTAGCATATGTTTTTTATTTCAGAAAACCTCCCAGTGGAAGCCGCCAGGTATCCCAGTTCTCGCGCTATTCTGATGTAATGTTGCCACCGGTCCGTCGCACCTACTACCACCCTTACTTCGACTACCCGACTCCCGAGTTCGTTCCTTACGTCTATTGAGCTCTACCGGCATCTGTTGCACCGAAACGACTACATATTCTAGCACGTTCTAGAACATTCCGAGGGAGATCTTCTTAAATGTACAACAACGCAGGCTTTAATTCGTATCAGTATTAAATAGCCATATCGGAAGCATATCTTTTTTAAGCTTTCGCTTGATAACATTCCTCTCTTCTACCCTTGCGAGCTTCTAAGCATTATCAATATTTTTATATTTACATAAATTGCTGAAATTTTCATGGTAGTTATGCGATGTTTTAACCCTTTTTGAATAATCGCATTGTATTTTTATAGATATAAGACTTAGCAATTTCTATTAGAGTCCGAAATGATAGGCGGACTTATATTAATTAGTGTGGAACTTCCAAAATGACAATAAAATTAACTTTGACAATACATTCAATTTTACCGTCAATTTCCATGACGTTAACGAATAGGACAATAAATCGTAATTGGACTCGACTTTAAATAACTTTCTATATTACTGTAGGATTTACAAGTTAGTGTATTAGGTACCTAATGTCAAAATATTTGTTAATACTTAATACACATTTTCATAATCTGTATAACGCGATTATGTCGGAAATGTAAAAATATTTTCCTATCGATTCATACTAGTTATATAAAAACATTTGAGCGTCTAGCCCGCAATTCCCTCTATATTAGTATTTGCGCGGAAAAGTTTGAGCCGGGAGATGTCTAAGAATCGGAAGGAAAATATAATAAAAAATAAAACTCGGAATATTGTTGCAACATATAATGTAATACTCAAAACAAGAGTCTAATTTTACTGGCTAATATCTAATAAATAATAATGAAACTTATATATCATTAAATTAATTTATTTATACATTATATTTCTTTATTCTTTAATACAGTTATTTAATCTTTTATATGTTCGTATAATTTTATAGTTTTTATTGCTATGATTCTAGTTAAGAATAATTAATTTTTAAATGGGTTTATTAGATGTTAATAATTTTATTGTTTTTTTTTGTAAATTATGTATTATTATTTTTAACTTGTTACAGACATGTTTTATTGATTTTTTTGTGTAGTGTAGTGTAGTTTTATCATTTTATTAAAAAACTAAGTACCGGGAATGCTACATATTTCAGTTTCTCGATAAGAATAATGAATATTGTAATCTTGTAGCTGTGTTGAACGTTTTCCTTAAAACATATTCGTTGTTGTGATTAGTAGCTAAGTGTACCGTTATCTTGCAACATATTCCTACGTTTATGTTGTGTTAAAAGCCTTCAAGACGGCTACGCCGGTATCGGCTATGTGTGACCCTCGACAACAGGATCTTTTAAAATAAATGCTTTAACTATGTTTAAATATTTCATATTTATTAGTTAATTGTATAGCGCGTCTTGAGGCGTTTATTGATTGTAATAATATTATTTATCGGACCTAGATATAAGCGTAGCAACCCGAAGCAACCCGAAAGACTACAAATGAGGCGTCGAGCAACAATACAAATTCGTTGGAACCTTAGAACTCACGAGATATTGGATATCTGTTTCAGCTTTGTCTATAATAACAAAACGTTGAAATATCACAACGGTGTATACTCTGTCCCAGAAGAAATGTTGGGTTGCACTGAAGGATGAAGGCTGTATTTACGGATTGTTAACTATTTATGTACTAGGTATATTGACTGTATCTAATCGTCTATCTACTTATAAGTATCGACGCTTGCCGTCGGCATAACCTCACAGACTATGAAATTTGGCTTTAAAATTGTATTATTCATGTATAACGGCTTTAAGCGAGTCAATGAATTCATTAAACTTCTATTTATTATGACGTACAGGCGTACACGTGTCCTAATCCTACACGTTACGGTTTAGCAAAATATGTATACACAATGATTTATATATATAATTTTCTATCAATATTCTGTAGGTTTACAAATTATTTTACAGTCTGATAAACTACTGGTAGGTAGTTAAACGATGACGTGTGGTAGCGTTGGTAGATATTGTGCAATTGTCAATAAGTGTTTGAATTAAAAATGTCTGAAATGTTTAAACAAATTACATTTGTTCCAATGTAACATATCTTGAATATATATATCAAGTAGAAAATGTATGAAACAATCATATCCTATTTTAGCAAATCTTAACTGTAAACCGAAATCTACGAGATGGTTATTGAACGCAATCGATCGAGTGGACAATTCGGTTAATTTAAAAATTGACAATAATGTTATTAAATGTGAATTACATAAGTGTTTAAATATACAGCGTGGTCTAGTTATTGACAATAAAGGCGATGACAATAACAAATAACTATTATCGGAGCATTTTCAGCTTCACACTGTTAATAAGTATTTCGAATATTCCTCTAGACCGCGCTTATCATATAATTATACAAGTAACCTATCAATAATAATTAACGTTTTAAAATGTATATTTATTGGTGGTTTTAATTTTAAAATAAAGATAGTTACTACTCCTGAGCATAATCATTTTGTTATTGTTGGTATATTGATGCCGACGTTGTCTTTACTCCATACGCTCCATATCTCACATTCGCACTTGTGAACGTGTGTGAGTGCTTACACAGATATTCCGCATAAAACAGTTGAATTAGGACATATTTTTCCCCAGGTAAACAGACAAATAGCGTTTTTTCGAGAGATTTTTTTAATCATCAGTTTGGCCTCATTCGATGAATTTTCTAACTTGTTGACTAATGAAGGAATAACTCTATGTTTTCTTTTGTGCTATCAAACACACTCATCCCAATCCGAAAGGTAGATAACACATCGCTACGCGCTACGACGCCGCCCACAAAGGTATGGGTGTGCGATGTCCACAGGAAAGCCGTATTACTACGACAAACCCGCTTAACATACCAGTAGGTATATACTTAAGACCCAGAAATTTTGACAGCATACAGATATACGTGATAGAGCCACACTGCAGCTATATTATGGCCGTAGCATGAACGGGTTTTGAACATGAACGGTCTTGCCGTGTAGTGGCGGTTGAGAATATTCACTAACCCATATCTTCCCGTGGGTGTCGTAAGAGGCGACAGAGGGAAACATCAGGAGATGAGCAGCAGCATCTTCCTAATAACAACAATAATATAATAAAAACTGCGGTTGCCAACCCGTTAGCCAAGCCTGGCAACTATGGCAAATATCCCCCCATAAGTAACGACGCAAACAAACGGCCCCCAGTACCCGGCGACCCCGCTATTCCTCGCAATGGTGGCGACCATGGTAACGGCGGGGAAGAGGGTGGAGGTTCGGTTGTCACCTACGACGACTCGACCTGGCAACATATAACGCACGCACCCTGAGGACTGACGAGAAGATACTGGAGTTGGAAGAAGAGGTATAACAAGTTGCACTGGCATATTATTGGATTATCCGAGGTCCAAAGAGAAGGGGAGGCCACGGTAATCCTCGAGTCCGGCAACTTGTTCTATCACCGGGAGGGCGACCATCTGTCCCAAGGAGGTATAGGATTTATCGTCCACAAGTCTCTCGTCAATAACGTTGTAAAGATTGGAAGTGTGTTGACGAGGGTCGCGTACCTGATACTCAGAATGACCAAACGGTATTCGCTGAAGGTCATACAGGTTTACGCACCAACTTCGGCACATCCCGATGAGAAGGTGGAGGAAATATATGAGGATATTTCTAGAGCCGTGCATTCCTCCAAAACCCACTACACGGTATTGATGGGAGACTTCAACGCAAAATTAAGCGCAAGAGAAAGCGGTGAGCTGAAGTTAGGGAATTTTGGAGTAGGGCAATGGAACCGTAGGGGTCAGCAGCTAGCCGACTTTATGGAGAAAGAAGGACTCTTTATCATGAACTCTTTCTTCCAGAAGCGGCCCCACAGGAAGTGGACCTGGTCGAGCTCCGATGGTTCGACAAAAAATGAGATTGACTTCACTATGAAGACCAGACGCCAACTGTTCAGTGTCTCAGTGATCGCAAGGGTGAAAACTGGCAGCGATCACCGAATGGTTAGAGGCACACTAATCCTAAACGTTAAGTTGGAGAGGTCTCGTCTAATGAAGTCAACGTTCCGTCCCCCTTGTGCTCTAATCCAGAATCCCGAAACCTTTCAGCTCGAGATACGTAAACGCTTCCAGTGCCTAGAAGATTGCAATGCAATGGACGATATGAATGACAAGCTCGTGGAATCTGAAGTTAAGTCTAAGTTCTACAAGACCCGCCGCAGTAGAACACAAAAACTCTCCGATCACACTCTTAATCTCAAAGATGATAGACGGGAGATGAGGCTGCAATCGTCAACAGATTTGACATCATACAGACAACTGAACAGACAGTTCACCAAATGCATGCGACGAGACTTATGCAACTTTAATACTGCTCGTATTGAAGAAGCGATCGAGCGGAACCAGAGCTCCAAAGTCTTTGCCAGAGATCTGTCTGCCAGAAAGAGCCGACTGTCAAAGCTAAAGACTGAGTGTGCAGCATCGTTTCCGGGACACCTGAGATTCTGAGTGAGATTGAGAGGTTCTATGGGCAGCTGTACACATCATCGTTGGAGCCACACGCAAGTGTGAGTAACGATCCAAGAGCAAGTCTTATCCGACACTATTCCGATGATATCCCGGTCGTCAGTCTGAACGAGATCAGAATGACTCTCCAGCACCTTAAAAACGTCAAGTCCCCGGGCGAGGATGGAATTACAGCGGAGCTTCTGAAAGCGGGTGGAAAACCGGAACTTGAAGTCCTTCAGAGGATTTTTATTTTCGTTCTCCACGGTGGCACTACTCCGGAGGCGTGGAGCAGAAGTGCGGTGGTCTTGTTCTTCAAGAAAGGTGACAACGCCCTCTTGAAGAACTATAGACCGATATCCTTTCTGAGCCGCGTCTACGTGCTGTTTTCGGGAGTCATTACGAATCGTCTCGCACGCAGACTCGACGACTTCCAGCCTCCCGAACAAGCCGGTTTCTGAAAAGGCTTCAGTACCATAGACCACATACATACCCTGCGGCAGATT